TGTCCGCTGGACTTGAAGGAAAAAGGCTGATTCCCAACTCCTGCAGTATTCTTCAAAAACACTAGGTGGCAGGAGCTCCACGGCAAAGAATGTAAAGGACCTGGAGCGAAAACAATACCTGAACTTTTTTTGGCTTTAAAAGTATTAATCTACTTTTTTTTTTTTTTTTTTTTTTTTTTTTTTGGCCAGGCTGGAGTCCAGGCCGGAGCTCTGTTGTCGAGGCTGGAGTGCAATGGCGCGATCTCGGCTCACTGCAACCTCTGCCTCCTGGGTTAAGCCGTCTGCAGCCTCAGCCTCCTGAGTACCTGGAACTACAGGGGCGCACCACGAAGCCTGGCTAATTTTTGAATTTTTATTAGAGACGGAATTTCGACATGTTGGCTAGGCTGCTTTCGAAATCCTGACCTCAAGTGATCTGCTCGCTTCAGCCTCCCAAAGTGCTGGGATTACAGGCATGAGCCACCTCCCCCGGACTAAACCTTTCTTAAAAGGCTGGGTAGAGTAGAGATTCTAAAAAGACAGAAATCTGGGACTGCAATGGGCTTACTGAACTCTTTTGCTCCTGTTATACTTATGTTTCCTTGAAAATTCGTAAGACGTTTACTTATGAATGCAAACGTTTGAATGTGTGGCAGAATTTGGCCTAAGACGTGTTTTTACTGTAACCTGATAAAGAGGATGTAAAGGAGTGGCTAGTCTATGGCTACTACCTATCTATGCAAAAAATTACCTAAGAGTTGAGCATGACTAAGTTAGTTTGGTTCAGTTCACAATTACGACATACACAAAGTAGATTTTTCATTTTTATTTAAACATTTTACATTAAATGAAATTTAACCATAATCATTACAGAACATTACCACAATAATAGACACAAATAACCTTTAAAATAAAAAAAGAATACAACTCTCAACTACTTAAATGCCACTTTACTATGTAAACATAAATAAAATAAAACCCTGATGCTAAAAAAGTACATGTTCAGAGGTAAAATACATATACAAAAAACATTTAAACTAACATAATCCACAACTAGATCACATTCTTTGCAAGAGAGTACAAATATTAGTACTCTACAGCTACAAAATTTCAGAATCCTGTTAAAATCAAAACCGCTGCTGGTTTATTATACACAGCACAATTCATAAGGCAAAAATATAGGCATTATCATCCAGTTCTTTAATTTCACTTGTATTTTAAGGCAAACTTGGAACTTTTTGCTTAGTATTTTAAAATAAATGGGACTTACACATGATAACTTGACAAAATCAACAATAAATTATCTCTAGTTAAAGATGAACACTATAAAAGACATACTGATAACAATTTTTCTCTCTGCAGAGATGTAAACTGGATTTTTGACTCCATAGTCACACCAGTAGGAAAATTTGTAAACCTATTGTATTAAAAATGTATTGTATTCCTCACTCTTTCTGAATGTGCATCAACACCAAATCAATGTACTGTAAGTGAAAATCCAGTACATATCCAGCCATAGAATAATTGTTATCTAATTAAATCATGTCTAATTAAAGTGCTGTTTACAAAGGGGAAAAAAAGGTTAAGAAATAGAACTGGATGTTAACTTGACATCTGACATCTTATAATTTATTAACTTTTAGACTACAGAGGTTATGAGGTTATCACAAGTTTACTGAACTTTAAGCAGTAAGTGTTTATTGTAGAATCTGATTTTCCTGAAAATGAGCACTTAGGTGACAATACCAGGAATCCAACACCAAAACTGAAAATAAACACATACACATATATTTCTCTCAATGTCAGCCAGAGCCTTGATACTATAGGAAATACATATTTTTTAATTTTCTATAGTTTTCCTACTAGAAAATACATGATCCAATTCTAGGAGATTTGGAGTTCCATAAATATTACATTTTTAAATATTTCTTTTTCATGCCAATAAAACCTAATTGGACACTAAGAAATTGCTTATGCATAAACTAGGTCTCTAATCACTTCTTATGACATCAGAGATAAGGAATTAGATTCATCCTTCAACATAATAGCTATTAGGGTCTCTCCCACTATATTTTACTCTCTTTGAAAGAAAAGGAGTGTATCTTACTTATCTCTGTAGCTTCCACAGCATCTAATAGAATATCTCATACATAAAGTAAACCCTCCACATGTCAGATTATCTAAATAAAATTTCATAACCTAATGTCATTTTCCTATCACTTGATACCACTTCCTGTATTTTAATATTCACTCATATTTAATAATAGCAATAACATGGAATTTGTAAATATCCTTGGAGCTACATTAAAAGCCACTTACATTCTATTACAATATCCAATGAATACTGAATAGCCAAAGATGACTAAAAGATTAACTCATTATAATTACAGGAGGCAATTATTTTGCAACTGATTATATTAATTTCTATTTCCCAGTACTGCTCTTTTCCAAAATATTTCTGGGAAATCTTAAATAGCTTTTCTTTTCTTGCCTGAATATGCGTAATTATTTCTAATACTTTTAATCTGGAGGATTTATAACCAAATATTTTTATTCTTTTTAACATTAGAAACATGTGGCTTTAAATTAACAATTTGTCAGCAGTGTTCATAATGAAACTTCTCACAAATTTGTAAAAGAAGGCTCTAATGTAAACATATTAGTTGTCAGGACAGATTAGTAGCTCTGGTTGTTATGAGTAGTACAGTAGGTTAAGCAATTCTAAAAGAAATATACCTATAAATTTTGAACATTTCTTCTCTTCCCTTCACAGATTTTCATGATCTGTTCACTGGTGTATGGCTCCTACTACTGCCCAAGGTGTTTCATATTTAGTCTTCCTCAAGATGAAATTTAGATTTTTCAAAAACAATGACCAGTATATGTTTTTTATCTAATTTATCAAATGATTATACAATAATTTGACAGTGGAGATGTTACATGAGTAAAACATTATTAAAATACAATGTATAGAATAGATGTGTTTATAATTAAAATCATTTTCCACAGTCTTTCAAATTCCCTTATCTTTAGGGAATAGGGGATTAAAAATAGCATAATAGGATATATTTAGTAATTAGATTGATATAAACAAAGAAAATGAAATTGGGGATTTAAAACTAAATATGTGATGAATCTATTTTAAATTGCTTTTCTTCAAATAAAATCTGGGCCAACCACAATAGTGCACCTATTTCTATGTAATAGATTTATTCAAATCAATGAAAAAGTTATTGCTCTATATTATTATGTTATTCAGACAAGCAACATAGAAAATACTCAGACTATCAATTGTATTAGTTGCTCCTGTTGAGTTCTAAATTAGAAGAGACTAAAAATCACTTGCAAGGTTTTATAATCTGTGCAAATATTCATAAAGCATGATACATTTACGATTAAAAATGATTTTACATAGTTTCGTAGTATATATTTAAATCTACAACTGGTAGTTTATGGAAGAACAAAGAACTGTAAATTGCCCAGCTATAGTATTCAAGAAATAAACATATATACTAACAAATGAACCTATGTTTTATCATTACAAATGGCTTCTTAACAATAGTCTAGAACATTATGGCACTTAAGAATATAGTATGAATTTTTTTCTTAGGAAAAATTATACATTGGTCTTGCAGAAACTTTATAAGCAGATTGCAGACAGGTTAAAAAAAAATCAAGGAAAAGAAAACCAAATGACTACAGTACCAAAATACAAGTACCAACCATCATAATAGAATGCAAGTGAATGTATTTAAGACTAACAGACATTTAATAAAACATGCTAAAATAAAATAAGTTAACCACTTCCTTTAAATAAGCTGTCACTGGCTACAGCAAACAATTTTGCTTTAAAAGATCGTTTCTTTAATCAAAGTAGAACTCAACTTAGAACCATTACTCAAGTAAACATTGAGTTCCAGTTTTCCTCAATAACATTAAAATATTCAGTTACCTAAAGAAATGTACAAAGTAATACATGACTGCCTAGTGCTTTATATTTAATGCATATATTTCTGTTTTCAAGAAGGACATGTAATATCTAGCATAAGAAGAAAGAAGATCAAAAGTGTAACTTTCTTTATATCACTATTCAGAAACCATTTAAAGCATAACAGGCCATTTTGATGATTTTTGGATGTTAACATTAGTGTAATCGCTAACATTTTTAATAAGCACAAATGAATCAAGCCATTAAAAATGCAAAAGACTATCAAAACATGTCATGCATATCTCATACTGAACATCCAAAAGGACATCAGTTATAGCCTTGTTATAAATCCTACAATTAGCACCATTTTTTAAAAATCTGAACACTTTGAAAAAGCAAAGATCTTAAAAAACTAAAATTATTTTAAGGATATATGAAAAAAATTAATATGCACTAAGAATGGTACTAAACACTGCTCAAATATATACATCAGCACTGGGAGGCCTGCTGTACTACTGAAGAAAAACTGAAACAACTGATATACTTAACTCCTATCCATGCTAACCATAGCATAGATAGGTAATTAAATTCATCCAATGTTAACCTGCCCATAAATACAAAAGGCATCAACAGCAAATTTATCTGACTTCCTAAAATAGGGCCCCAAACATCATGATAATAAAAGCAATTCTCTTAAAAATTTATTACATCCCTAACCCTAAAACCATTTAGCAGGAAGAGTATTCAGATGACTCCCTATGGCATGTTATTTACAACCCTTAAAAGTACCAAAATAAAAAGCAGCCCTTTATTTCTTTTAAAACAAATAAAAAATGTGAAGCATAGGAATTTACATCTCAGAAGCAATATCAGCACTCTGCTCATTCACTCAATATACTCCAGCACCTAAAGCATTGCTCATCCTAGCAAATCATGGTATCAGGGAAAAAGAGCTAAAATTTAAAAAAAAAAGAAAAAAAAAAAGCAGCGTTTTCTCTACACGGACACTTATGAATATAAAACTAGTATATCTCAGTCTTAGGGGGAAGTGCACAATTCAATTGGCAAGGTCTTTACTTATTTTTTCTTTTTAATTATCGGTTTACTGTGTAATCAAGAGCAACCAAAACTACTTGTCAATTAAAAGTACCCAGCAAAACTTGGAGTCTTCATGCTACTTCAAGTTAAAAAGAAAGCAATGCAGCTTGTGGGTTTCAGAAAACTGGGCCATCCGTTCATGCAGTACAAATTTCACCACCATACTATTTCCAAGAGTTCACACTTGTCAAAGTGCAGTTAACCCAAAGTTGCAGCGACAGTATATCATGCCAGCTGCATCCAGCCATGTATCTGAGATAGGATCGTATTTCTGCACTGTATTCAGATAGGAAGACCCTGAGTGACCACCGACTACGTAAAGGTAGTTATCGATTACAGCAGCACCAACTCCTAGGAAAGGTTGACAAAAAGAAGAAAGAAACATGTTAACCATGAAGTAGACTTTTTCTGACTAAAAATAAATTTGTATTTTAATGTTTTCTTAAAATACATTTTAACAGTTATTAATTATACAAGCAATATACAGCAGTCCTCTTATCTGAGTTTTTGCTTTCTACGCTTTCCTGCAGTCAACCATGACTAGAAAGTAGGGAGTAACGTACAGTAAGATACTTTGAGGGAGACCACATCCACATAACTTTTATTACAGTACATTGCTACAATTGTTCTATTCTGTTATTGTTGTTAATCTCTCACTGTGCCTAATTCACAAACTAAATTTTGCCATAAATACATATGTATAGGAAAGAACATTACATATATTGTGTTTGGTATTATCTGCAGTTTCAGTCCACTGGGGGTCTTGGAACATATCCCTGTGGGTATGGGGGCCCACTGTAGCAATATGTGTTTGCTGGAAAAACACAATCCTTAAAATAAAAGTAAGAGTTACTGGGGTGGGAGGATCACTGGAGGCCAAAAATTTGAGGCTGCAGTGAGCTATGACTGTTTCACTGTACTCCTGTCTGGCTCAACAGAGTAGGACCCTGCCTAAAAATGAAAATAAAATCAAGTTAAGAGTTGAAATCTTCCTTTACCTTTCCTCTCTAATCCTACTCTTCCATTCCCTTCACTACAGGAAAATGGAGTCTGTCTTTCCATAGGCTTTCTTCCTTTTTTCTTTATATTTCATTTCATTCTAGAAGAATCATTTTATGAGGTTTTCAAATACATTGAAAGATTTCAAATATATTAAAGAATTTATGCTTCTAAAAATTCTACTTTAGATATTATCAGATATCATTCTAAAAAGAAACAGTTTACCCCAAATTTTTAAATTCTCATTGTTTCTATGACTTTCCCTCTCAAGGATACCAAACACACAAATTATAGTAAACACTAAAATAGCTCATTTCAGTTTGTCCTTTCAGTTTCTCTTGCATGTTTGTTTCAAGAGTTTCTTTCATCATAAATACAGGTTGAATATCCAATATCCAAAAATATGAAATCCAAAGTGTTCCAACATCTGAAACTTTTTTTTTTGAGATAGAGTCTTGCTCTATCTCCCAGGCTAGGGTGCAGTGGCATGACCTCAGTTCAAGCGATTCTCATGCCTCAGCCTCCTGATTAGCTGACACTATGGCATGTGCCACATTCGAGGCTAATTTTGTCTTTTTAGTACAGACAGGGTTTCACCATGTTGTCCAGGCTGGTCTCAAACTCCTGATCTCAAGTGATCCTCCCACCTTGGCCTCCCAAAGTTCTAGGATTATAGGTGTGAGCCACCGTGCCCGGCCCAACATCTGAAACTTTTTGTTGCTCAAAGGAACTGTTCACTTAAGCATTTTACACTTTAGATTTTTGAACTTGGCATGTTCAACCTGGTAAGTATAATGCAAATATTCCAAAATCCCAAATCCAAAATCTGAAACACTTCTGGTCCTAAGCATTTTGGACAGGATAGCCAACCTGCATGAGGAGTGCTCCCGAAAGCATTTCCATTTAAAATCTTTCCCGTAAAATGATCTGATGAGTTTAAGTTCAAAGATAACAATTTCTCCTGAACCACAAAGGTAGATTTGTGTGGTTTTTTTTTTTCTAGGAACTCTGAAATGCAACCCTTTTTGATCAACTATACTCCTTGGGGAAGAACATTTGAAAGTGAACATACAGATTCCTGATATACAATAGAAAACAAAACAGAACAATCCAAGGATTGTATATATGTAACAAGTGAAAAGATGACCTCAGATATATGGACAAAAATAACTTCTATAAGTATACATTCTAGCACAAGCATTTCCCAAAATGCATTCACCAAGTCTGAGAAACAATAATCTGCACATTGGCATATACAAGTCACAATAAAGAAATCTATATAATTTTGTCTACCTAATTGTCTTTCAAGTTTACCACATACGAGTTTTTTTTTTTCTTTTTCTGGACAAGTAACATCCCTGCTGTTATATTCCAAGGAACTATTACTCCAATCACATCATTATAGAAAAAACTACCTTATATGTTTAGAAATTAATAAATTATTATTACCTGTTCTAGGTTCTTTCATCGGTCTACACACAGTCCACTGATTTTGATGAGGATCATATCTTTCAATGCTTGACAAATGTGAGACTCCATTATGTCCACCCACCACAAAAATAAAGCCTAGCATGACACCCACGCCAAAGTGAATCCTTTTATCTGCCATGGATGCAACCATCTCCCAGGAGTCCTTACTTGGATCATAACGCTCCACACTGCAAATATTTTTTAAAAAAATAATTAATTTACAGATCTTTCATATCGTTCTTCCTGCCAAAGCAAAACTAAAACCCACTATAGCTTTAAAAGTTCACATAATAGATATTAAACAAGAGTAGTCTGCCACAAATGCTTAGGTTTTGCTGATAAGATTACAAGGATAAATCTTACCTTGTAAACAGGGTGCAATTCCACATGCTATTCCATTTTATTGTACAAGTAGCAAAGTCTATTAAGAGCATAGAACTTAGAGTCAGAAGACCTGGGTTCAAGTACTAATTCTGTATACCTAGGGCTGAACGAACCTTAGTCCTACTACTGTGGATTTGTGTAATCCTGAACAAGTCATTTCCTCTTACCTGCAAAAATGAAGATAGTACAACTTCAAGGGATTCATGTAAGAATAAAGTCAAATGAGTATGTATGTGACTTTGAAAACCAGTAATTGAACACAGATTTGGTTTTTGTTTCAAATTTTTATTTATTTTAGACACAGGTCTTGCTCTGTCACCTAGGCTGGAGTGCAGTGACACAATCATAGCTCACTGCAACCTCAAATTCCAGGGCTAACGTGATCCTTCTGTCTCAGTCTTCTGAGTAGCTAGGACTAAAGGTACACGTCACCATCCCTGGCTAGAATACAGAGGTTTTTAGGATCTTCTATACAGTTCAGGGAAAGGGAAGAGGAAGAGAAGGGGGAAAAGAAAAAACATTTTTAATTTCTCACAGGATAATTTATGTGGTTTACTGCAAAGCAGTTACTATAGATTGCATAGTACAAACTGGCTAATGATAACTATCTCAGAGTACTCAGGAATTTTATAACTTGATCAAGACAGTTATAAAAAAAGAAAAAAAATTCTAAAAAATGGTACTCAGGAATTTGAGTCAAGACTGTGTTCCAGAGAACCTGTGGCATATCCAAGCTGTATTATGGAATCCAAATTAAATTAGAATTTTCAAAAAGCCTTCCCTAGAAAATTCTAGCAGCTGTTAAGACTATGGTTTGCCCTGAAGGGGCACAAAGGTACAGAGGTGAGATTGTTGGGCTTGTTCTGGCTGTAACCTAATTTCCTGAAAAAACCTTAAGCATTTGAGAAGCTGTTACACCATTCTGGAGTTCATAATAGAGACTGGGTAACAATGTTCCTGAAAGAACTCCACGATATAATCCATTAGACCAAAATCACTGAAGAGTTGATGAACTGCAGCAAGACCTTCAAAAGCATCAAATTTAAAATACTTAACCTTTTAGCTTCTAAATTTTGGCCAGAAGTTTTTCAAATAATAGAAATAAATGTCTATGTCCCAAATATTTTTCCTTTAACTAAGGCAAAAAAAAAAAAAGAGTACTTTGGCTTAAACAGAAGTAAAAATTTACAAATGAAATGCTGTTGTGTCATCACTGTCTCAGTCAATAAACCTCGGCAGTTGTAGATGATTGGTTCCAGGATCCACCCCATCCCAAGGATACCAAAATCTGCAGTTGCTCAATTTCCTTATATAAAACAGTGTAATATTTGCATATAACCTATACCTTCTTGTATACTGTAAATCATCTTTAGATTACTTATGCTATGCAAATAGCTATTGTATTGTATTATTTTTCATTTGTTTTTTATTATTGTAAATTTTTTCAAATATTTTCTTATCCACAGTTGGTTGAATCTGTGGATATGGAACTCGTCGATATGGAGGGCTGGCTGACTGTATGCTCGCTCATTAAAATACTCACAATCAAAATAACACAAACCACTCTAATTACTATTTAAAATAAAATCTTTTCTTTTTTCTTTTTGAAAGGGTTTCATTCTGTTGCCCAGGCTGAAGTGTAGCAGTGCAATCAAGGCTCACTGCAGCCTCAACCTCTTGGGTTCAAGCAATCTTCCCTTGTAAACCTCCCAAAGTGTTGGGATTACAGGCATAAGCCACCACACCTGGCCAAAGATAAAATCTCTGGAACATCAATTTTCAATAAAGGTTCAGAATTATGATTAATTTCCCATATAACCAGTTACTTCACTTTCATTTTTTCCTTTATTTAGATAATACTACAGAATACAGATATCACAAATTTAAACTCCAACACAAGTCAAATACCTAATGATACATGTATGATTACAGAATAAGCATTCAGGAAGGAAGATTTAAATAAGGTTTTAACTATATGATGGGTTATAATATTGTATAGACATACAGGAATTAAATTTTCACTTCTTTATTCTATTAAGCAATACAATAAAAGTTTACACACTGTGAACATATATATAATATATATAATATATATATATCATATTATATAATATATATTAATATATATTATTTCATATTAATATATGTGTGTACATATATACATGTATATATAATATGTATATGTTATATATTATGGTATATATATACATGTATATTCTTATATTATATATATACATGTATATATATTATATATATTATAATTCATATATATTCATATATAATATATGTACATGTATATATATAATAGAGGAATATATAATTATATATATTATATTCTTATATATATACATGTGTATATTATATATACATATATATTATATATACACGTATATATGTAATATATATACATATATAAATATATACACACAGACACACACACCACACAAAATCTAAAGTTGTCTAACTTCACATTATTTTTAGGTTTCTGAGTTTTAAAACCTAGTCCATTTACACTGAAAGAACATAAAATTTAATGAGAGGGATTTGATTTTTAGGTTTATATTAAATTCCCATGTAAACTAATTACAATTATATCCTATAGAGCAGAGTAAGTTTCCCAAATGCCGGAAGTTAATTCATATACACAAATTGTTTAAAACTCAGAAATCATTGCTAATGAGACTTTTAAAAATCCACAAACATATATGATTTAATTATTAAATTAAATACCTGTTCATGTGGGCAGGACCATACCCACCAATGGCATATATCATTCCATCCAATACAGCTGCAGCAAAACAACTTCTTGTTGTAGTCATTGGTGCCACAGGTTGCCATTTTCTTATTTTGGGAATATATTTCTCTACAGATTGTAAATAAGATTGTCCATCATAACCACCTAATGCATACAGTTCTCCTGCAAGTACTACTACTCCGAGAGTACTTCGGCTTTCATTCATTCTCTCTAGAGAAGTCCAAGTATTTGTATCAGGATTCCAGCATTCTACTGAATTTTCATGTTTTCTGATAGTGACGCCAGGACGCACATTAGTTTCAATACCACCTATAACATATACTTTTTGGTCTAAAACGCATATTCCAAATTCATAGCGAGGAATGTTTAGGGGTGCCAAACCAATCCAAGAGTCATTTTGAGGAAAGTACATCTCCACACTAAAGAATAAGCAGAAAAAAATTAAAATTTAAAAACCGAAGTGGCCCATAAAGACAGATGTGTTTAATCTTATTAGTAATCAGGGACACAAAAATTAAAACCACAATAAACCAAGATATATCTTCCAAAGTGGCAAAAAATGTAAAGTCAGATAACAGCTGTTGACAAGAATGTGTAGCAAGAAATGCATACTCCATTGGTGAGAGTGTAAGCCTGTATAAATTACTTTGGAAAACAATTTTACCTTAACTGAAATTGTTGAAGATACATGTTTTCCGACTTAGCAATTACACTCCTATTTATCTACTCTTCTGAATGTTTATTACAGTCAGTTTTGCATCTAGACACATACACAGAAATGTTCACAGCAGCACAATCATCCACCAAAAAGAGAACAAAGTGTACTTTATGTGCCCTGTCTGATCAACTCTACTGAAGAGAAAGCATGCATACGTATATGTACAAGAGTGTTTACTACAGTATTATTTGTAACAGCTCCAAAGTGGAAACAATCAAAATGTTCATTCACTATAAAATGGATAAATTGTGCCATATCATACAAGAGAATACTATATGGCAATGAAAAGGAACAAACTAAAGCTACATGTTGCTGGGGGAATCTTACACACATAGTGTAGAGAGAAAAAAAACAAATTCAAAAAGACACCAATTAAGTTCAAAAACAGGTAAAACTAATCTCTGGATTAGGAATAAGGATAGTGGTCACCTTTAGGGAGGATAAGAAGGGAGCTCATGGGTGGCTTCTGAGTGTTGGTCATACTCTATTTCTTGAATTGGTTTGTAATGTTTACTTTGCAGTAATTCACTGAGCTGTACATTTGGGATTTGTACACTTTTCTGTGTGCATGTAACACTTCAACATTTAAAATTAAAATGTTTATCGTAGAAACATAAAGTGTATTATGCTTGTACATGATATATCATCACATTTCAATTAAGTGAACCATTTCCTCATGCAGTCTCACAGATGAATTTCACAAACATTGTTCAGTGAAAAAACATCTGTGAATAACGTATATTCCTGCATTTATATTAAAATGTGCAAAACCTAACAATATATCAGGGCACATTTGATATGTGGCAAAATTATATGAAAAGCAAGGGAATAGTTCATAAAAATTCAGGGCAGTGGATACTTCCAGAGGAAGGGAGGTGGCAGCAAGGAGGGACACAGGGGGACTTCAAAAGTATTGTTAATAGTCTGTGAAGCTGGCTGATAGATACTTGAGTATTTATTCTTGACACCCTGAACCTATACCTATATACTATATAATATTTTGCATGTATACACACACACACACATATATGCATGTAAATAGTTCTGTTAATAATCCACTGTTTTACATTTGGTACATCTGTGTCTGTTAATACAGTTAGCTTTCTCACTTTTCTGCTTGTTTGTTGAGGCTGAATTAAATTTAGACTTTAAAAAAAAGAAGGGATTTCCCTGAGTTCCCCGTTCCCCTCCCGCAACAGCGTGGGTGCTTTCTCGCTTTCTCTCCCTCTCTCTCTCTCTCTCTTTCTCTCTCTCTCTCTCCCCCCCTCCCTCCCTCTCTCTCTCTCTCTAATAAACTACTCTTCCACAAAACTCTTTGGGTCCACGATTTTCTTTCTTTTTTTTTTTTTTTTGAGACGGAGTTTCGCTCTTGTTACCCAGGCTGGAGTGCAATGCGGCAATCTCGGCTCACCGCAACCTCCGCCTCCTGGGTTCAGGCAATTCTCCTGCCTCAGCCTCCTGAGTAGCTGGGATTACAGGCACGAGCCACTATGCCCAGCTAATGTTTTGTGTTTTTAGTAGAGACGGGGTTTCACCATGTTGACCAGGATGGTCTCGATCTCTTGACCTCGTGATCCACCCGCCTTGGCCTCCCAAAGTGCTGGGATTACAGGCTTGAGCCACCGCGCCCGGCCCACGATTTTCTTAAGACAGTAAATTCACCGTGTCTCTGGGCCCCTTTCCCCATTCTTCCGGGTTAGAGAGGCCAAGAACCTACAAGCTGGGTACTCCCCGAGTAACATCTGTTGGCAAGCCAGCCAGAACACATCAGACTTCAGAGTGAATTAATGCCATGAGGCTACAAATCTTCCTGCAAATGGAACCCCAGATGTGCCTGACTCATAAGTTCTATCGTGCACCTCTGGGTTGACCTGCACCACTGGAAGACTCCCCTCTGAAGGAAACTTCAACTGCAGGGCCCCTTCTACTCCCGAATTAAGCAGGAAGTAGAGAGCTATGGAGGCCTGTGTTCAACAGCAGTTGGACTTTCCTGTTCAGAGGGGGACTAAGGGACTGTGTTAAAGAAACTTCTCTCCCTGGCTCTGCTAGAGGAGGGGTTTCAAATGCAGGAATTTCCCCGCTCCCCCCTCCTCCACGTGGGCCAGGTAACATTCTTTGTCTGATCTTCCTTCTTTCGGGAAAGCCAGATGGGGCTCTTTTGTCCCAAATTCCCACAGAAAGCTCTGGGAGGAGGGGACTCTGTAATACAGGGTTGTAGAACAAGTAGCCAATCCGGTGTCACAGTCAAAGATCAATCACTCCAGAGGAAGTCTGAAAGAACTCCTCATTGGATGAGAACATCAATGGCAGGGCGGGGGGGGGGGGGGGGGGGGGGGGGCGGTGGGCTACGCAAGGGTTAAAACTTCAGCTGATTTCCCCTCTCTGGGTTCTCTGTCTTTTCTCTCTCTCGCTAATAAATCGATCTTCCACAAACAAATAAACAAACATCAATAACATATATATGCTTCTTCATCCTCCAAAAAGTTGGGAAAAAGTAGCTAATGTCCCCCAACTCGATAACGTAGTAGCATTTAAAAAAGTCCTCTATCCAGTACAATCAAGATATATTCATTCACTCAATAGTTACTGAATTCCTGTTATGGTCAGTTGTTATATGATTTGTTTTAAAAAATATGAATTTGACGAAATGATACATCATGGAATACTCTGACCCTAACAAAGTCTAAAAGAGAATGGGAGATAAGGAAGTGAAAACAGGGGGTACAGACAATTTTCCAATGATTTTTACTATAATGAGTAAAATAAATAGGAGACAGCTATAAAGTGGAGGAGAGAAAGACCATGGTGACCAGAAAGGATTAATTTAATCTGGAAGCTTAAGCTAGGATGTGTTTGCATGCAGATGCTAATGATACATACAGTACAGAGGGAGAGAGGGAGAAGGTGATGATAGAGGAGAGAGATAGGATAAATGGAAGAGCAAAGTCTTTGTGTAATGGAGAGTGAGTGAAAAATCTAGTGAAATAAGTAGAGAAGTGGAAGGGTTGGTCTTAAAAATAAGTCAGTAGATTTGGTGTGGGGAAGATGAGGTAGTTCTCTTCTGGTTGCTTCCATCTTTTCAGTAGAGTAACAGGTAAGGAAAATGGGTTTTGGATGTCTTTAGGAGAGCAGAAAGTGTGAGACATGAGGGAGTCAAATAATAAACTGATTTGAGAAAAGTAGAGGGAAGTGCTCAGGAGTGCTTAAGGCCCCACGTGAGGCCAGTTAAAATGAGTATGTAGGTTTCTCTAGTCATAGTCTGCTGCTCAGATGCAGCCATGGCATAAGCAGAGAATTGAATTTAACTAGAGCAGTATGATGAGGAACAGAAAGGCAAAGGAGCCATGGTGTATTTAAGGGAATGACGTTGTGATGCTCCCCCAATCTAAGCTAGGTAAGATGGGAAGAGAAGAATATGTGGTAGTTAAAGAACGATTAGTTCTACTGATTACGGGGCCAATGGATGAAGAATCCTGAAGGGAACAAAGACTCATTGGAGGGTGTGTACTGAAATAAATAAGCTGGTAAAAGAAAACCACTGTCAAAGAGTGGAATGTGTGAACCAAGATTTTTGAATGTGTCGAAGTTACCAATAATGACAAAGGCTGCCATGTTGTATGTTTTTAGCTAAATCATCTTCAGAAATCCGTAACTTCTAGATAATCCATCATCATAACCTTTAGTCTTACTATCATTTTTATTTACTCGCATATAAGTATATATATGAGAGTCTTGCTCTCATAAAAATAAATATATGGTCGGGCACCATATATATGTATTTTTGAGACAGTCTCGCTCTGTTGCCCAAGCTGGAGTGCTATTGTGCGGTCCTGGCTCACTGCAACCTCCGTCTCCTGGGCTCATGCGATTCTCCTGCCTCAGCCTCCTGAGTAGCTATAATTACAGGTGCCTGCCACCACACCTGGCTAGTTTTTTGTATTTTTAGTAGAGATGGGTTTCACCATATTAGCCAGGCTGGTCTTGAACTCCTGAACTCGTGATTCTCACCCCTCAGCCTCCCAAAGTGCTGGGATTACAAGCATGAACCACTGTGCCCGGCCATATATTTATTTTTATGCGAGTAAGACTCTCATATATATTTTTATATGAGAGTAAATAAAAATGATAGTAAGACTAAAGGTTATGATGATGGATTATCTAGAAGTTATAGATTTCTGGAGATAATTTAGCTAAAGACATACAACATATAATGTCATTAGTCCTTATGGTCTTTTGAGGGTATCTTAGTTCATTTTCTGCTGATAGAATGCTACAGACTGGGTAATTTATAAAAAACAGGAGTTTATTTGGCTTATGGTACCAGAGTCTGGGAAGTCAAAGAATATGTTGCTGGCACTGGGAAAGGTTCATCTCATGGTAGAAGACATCACATGGGTAGCTAGCAAGCCTGTGCACAAGACAGAGAAAATGGCAGCCAAACTTATCCTTTTATCAAGCGCCCACTCCCACAATAATTTACTCAATCCGAGAATAATGGTATTAATCCCTTCAAGAGGGCAGAGCCTTCAGGGTCTTGTCACCTCTTAAAGGCCCCACCTCCTAATATTGTTCAACGGCAATTAAGTTTCCAAAATATGAACTTTTGGGGAACACTTTCAAACCATAGAATTTTACCCCTGGCCCTCAAAATTCATATCCTACTCACATGCAAAATATATTTATTCCATCCCAATAGACCCA